TAAAGTATACCTGGACTATATAAATTATACCAGGACTATAGAAAGTACACCTGGACCTTCATTCTCTGTTTGTTTCTACTTCCTCTCCTCTCAGACTCAGACAGTCAAAGCAGATGTGCCGCTCGTCCTGAGTCTGGTTCTGCTGGAGGTTTCTTCCTGTTAAAGTGAGTTCTTTCTTTCCACTGTCTCCTTTGTTCTTGCTCAGGATGGGAGACTGTGACAAAGTGAAGATTCAACACAATCTTTTTTCATTCCACCTTTATTTCTACAGGTTAGTCTCACTGAGCCTCTGGGGCTCATTTACAAGAGAGACCTGCTCTGAAATCTGCTGCTTCCTTAGAGAGAGAACTTTTACTGATCGTCTTTGATAATGTCAGTGAATGTTTCTGACGGAGACAACGTATGTTGGGAGCTACAGAAATAAACTGAAGTGAATTATTGTAATGCATTGCCTGTTTTTTTTTTACCTATAATTTCTATGAAATGAAAATTTGTTTAAAATCAAGAGAAATTGCATTTTTTGGAAAACAGCAGTGTGTGTGTGTGATTATTGCTGATTTCTGAAAGCTGCTGAAGGCGAAACTAGATTCTAAAGGTTTCATCTCTAAACTGTTAAAGCGAGTTGAATTTGAAAAGCTGACATTTGCTGAAAGCAGGAAAATAAACATGAAATGCTGTAGAAAAATGACAGAAATGTACAGAAAAGCTGAATAGGTCAGAAACATAGAAGAAATGAGCACAGAAATCGGCAAAGAAGTTGAATAAATCAAAAGCATTCTGAAATTAAAAATATAGCCGAAAAAGCTAAAAAAAAAAAAAAACTACAATTAGCAAAAAAGAAGTCTAAAAGAAGTATAAAAAGTTAAAATTATTTTTTTAAATGACAAAAGGTAATTAACAAAAAAACTTAAAACTTAACATTAGCTGAAAAATATCTAAAAAGTAGCTGAAATCAGAAAACAACAGAATTTAGAAGAAATAAACTGAAAGGAGCAGAAATATTGATGAAAAAAGATTGAAGAAGCAAAAGAAGGTGGCACGGTGGCTCAGTGGGTAGAGCTGTTGCCTCTCAGCAAGAAGGTCCGGGCTTTTCTGGGTGGAGTTTGCATGTTCTCTCCGTGCTGCGTGGGCTTTCTCCAGGTACTCCAGTTTCCTCCCACACACTAAATGGATGGATGGATGGTTGGTTGGATGGATGGACGGATGGATGGAGCAAAAAGAAGCTGAATGAAGCTGAACTCAGCACTAAAACGCTGAAGCAGAACTGAAACGAATGAAAAAGGGTTTTAAACAGTTCAAAGGCTTGAAGGATGTGACGAGAGCTCCATTCATCTTGAGCGAGAAAAACATGGCCGAAAAAGCAAATTATTTTCAACAAGTTAAAATTGCACAGATACCAAAAGTCACAGCAGGAATTTCCTGAATGGGCTGAACGATTTGATGTATGAATTGTTCAAATAGCACAAAAATTGTGGAACAATTTATGATTTTTGTGCCGACAAGAAAAACGGATCTAATTGTGAATGGTTTAAAACACTGATAAGAAAGAACCAATTGTCAGAATACTTTTCATTTATGACTCTAACCCACACACATCTGAATGAACATCACTTCATCAGTCTTTGTCACATTGAATGCATCACTGTCACAACGCGATCACTCTGGAGCTTTTCTTAATCAAGACGCCTTGGATTGTTGCAAATAAACACCAGTGCTACGTCACCTGGCTCTTGAAAAGAGATCAAACAGCTGCTCTTAGTCACACCTGTTGGGTGACGCTGACGCATCCACAGCTCTGTTCAATGACTGCTGCAACGAAAACTCAACTCTAAAGTCATACCCCTAAAAAAAGAAAGAAACAGCCCGAAACCAACCAAATAAAATGTCGGTAAAGACAAAATACCCAACCTCTGCTAGGTGCACGAATGTATCAATTGGATGCGCAGCTGTTTGCATGACAAAGAGGGATAAAAAGGATAAAAAGGAAGCAGAGTGTAGATGAAAAGAGATGGGCTGCTGCATGTGACATCCTGTTTTCTATTCCAACTTGTTTCTCTAAAAGGAAGAAGTGGAAGAAAACAGCTAAAACAGAAGGAAGGATGACGACCACTGTGTGTGTAGTTTGAGACGTGTGTCCCTCTGGGAGATGGCCCTAACAACTTCGCTCCTGTTTTATCCTCCAGAAAGGCTGTAGGGAAAGATTCTGGGTGGTGTCTCACTACCTGCGACCACGGTGGCCAGCTGCTGTGTCCGGGTGATGGGGCTGACACGGCGCGCCTCCACAATGGCAGAAGCTATTTTCCTGGCGTGCCTTTCCTCTCCGTATGTAGTGAGGATAGATGCAAGAGCTTGTTGATCTAAGGTGTTCACAACGTCAGCAGCGCAGGGCATGTCAGTGTACCTACGCACAAAAAAAACAAAAAAAAAAGCCCAATTAAGCCACTTGACGTCATGTCCTTGCTGACAGAGGCGAATCCTGACAACTCTGAGATGCAGCTGAAACCCATACAGGTGACAGCTCTGAACAGTGATTGTGAGACAAGGGATAGGGAAATGTAGCTGTTGCAACAGCTTATAATGAGGTGATGTTGCAAAGTTGCTTTCCAGATTCATTCCACCATTATTTCTAGAGGTTAGTCCCATTGAGCCTCAGGGACTCATTTACAAGAGAGACTTGATGTTAAACAAAGATTGATGACAACAGTGGACCATCATAAAGGATGCGTACAAACTGAGAATATCTCTCTCTCTCTCTCTCTCTCTCTCTATATATATATATATATATATATATATATATATATATATATTTAATGTACAACAAGTGAAAATAAAATGGTATTTAAAAGAAAATGTAAGAAAAAACAGCTAGGTTGTAAGGTGATGTAGAAAACTAAAAACAATAGATAAATGGGAATGTAACCTAAATGTTTTTTTCTACATTTTTCTGTACATGTTATATGCATATACATAAACACATTAAAAAACATTCAGCAAGCTTTTACACTAATTAGTTCTCATTACCCTGATGCATGCTCAATAATCCAGGTACAAAAATCTTAAAAAGTTCAATCTGGTCCTCTGGACATTCAAAAAAACAACAAACAAAACAAAGCAAAAAAAATATAGATACGTTTCGTCTTTCATCCAAAAGACATCCTCAGTCTGAGGTGCTGTATTCAGCTCGGTCTTTTAGGGGCCGTTTACACGGCGCGTATTCTGAGAGCATCCGCTCCTTTCTCTCTGCAGTTCTGCTGATCATCTACACGACACCAGTGGCCCCCCTCTTTGAATCCGGAGGTTTCTGAACCCACCTTCCAGAGTGGAGGTTTTTCTCTGATAATGTGAACATCTCCTGCTGAGTCTTTGTGTTAAACCACATGCGCACACGCACGCATGGACAGACGCTATATTTCTATCAACATGGCGGCGGTCACGCTGCTTTCAGACCCTCGACTGATGGAATATATTTTAATCTCGTAGTTAATCTACGTCAGATTCCAGGTGCTGTGACCAAAATCTGTGTTGGAAGAGACACAATCTGATCCAGTTCTGATGTCGCTGTTTATAGAACGAGGCACGTGCACACGTCGCGCTGCACTATAACATAAATGTGCTGAATAATAAGTTTAATAATAATAAACAGTATTTATGTTAGTGTGAGAGATAATGAAGCTCTGAGCTAAATGAAGGTATCTGGACATTATGTAATTCAAATTTAAAATGATGCTAAACATATTGAGTGAACACTAAAGTTGAAAATGAAGACATCAGGTTTAATTTTTATTTATTTATTCAACACCACAAACTGTATGTCACACAAACACTGATAATTAAACTGAACACACTATTAAAAACAAGTTAACTGTAAACTGCATTAATGAACTGGACTCTTGTTTTCATCCTGGATGTTCTGGTCCCATGTTGTTCATCTGGCTCGTTCAGGAAGTCACTCCTTTGATTAATGCAGCTTAAAACATTGAATGGGTTGAATAAAAGAACTGAGGGGAATTTTAAATAAATAGTTCATCCAACATCTCTTTTTCACGTCCTCCTGCAGTTCATCTGGGCCGAGCCTCGTTCAGAACCGGTCCGCCTGGTGGGAGGACAGCTTCTTCTTCTTTCAGGAAAAATAAAAACTCAGTTGTTTTGTAACCGAAGTAAACACAAGCAAACATTATTAAGAACATTTGATTTACCTGCAGTAATCAGCTACTGATTATCACGGAATAAAGTCCGACATCGTCGACTCGGTTCTGGTCCACTCAGCGACCGGTGAGGAGCTGTTAGACGAAGCGTCCCGCTTGGCATCAAATCTGTCGACTCTTATCCAAAATCCAGCTTTAACTTGTTGTTAGCAGAGCTTTTTAGCTCACAGGAAAGGAGCATGCCGAGGCAGCACGCATGCGCATTAGGTGAAGGTACAAAATTCACAGCGCCATCTAATGACCCGGCACGGTAACTTAGAATTTACAAAAACAGAATGGGAGGCAGATCTTTCAGTTCTCAGGCTCCTCTCTTGTGGAACCAACTTCCAATCTCTGTCCATGAGGCTGACACATTGTCCAGTTTTAAAACTAGGCTGAAGAATTTCCTTTTTGATAAATCCTATAGTTAGGGTCGGCTTGGGTTTCCTGAGCTGTCCCTTAGTTATGCTGCTATAGGCTTAGACTGCTGGAGGACAAACTGACCACACTTTTCACTCTGCTACTGTCTTTACTTACTCTGCTCAACCTGTTTTGTATTTCTCATTATTTTTTCTATCCTTACTTGTGTCTTTGTCTTTCAGATACACCTGGACCTATATCTGGACCTGGACCTATACCTGGACCTATATCTGGACCTGGACCTATATCTGGACCTGGACCTATACCTGGACCTATATCTGGACCTGGACCTATACCTGGACCTATACCTGGACCTGGACCTATATCTGGACCTGGACCTATACCTGGACCTATATCTGGACCTGGACCTATATCTGGACCTGGACCCATATCTGGACCTGGACCTATATCTGGACCTACCATTCTGTGTTCGTCTGTCTCTCCTTCCTGTCCTCTCAACCAGCCGGTCAAAGCAGATGGTCTCTTGTCCTGAGCTGGTTCTGTTGGAGGTTTCTTCCTGTTAAAGGGAGTTTTTCTTTCCACTGTCTCCACTGTGCTTGCTCAGGATGGGAGACTGCAACGAAGCCAAGATTCATCTTGTCTGCTGGATTCCTTAGATAGAGAACTTTACTAATTTTATGTGAATGTTCCTGTAAAGTCCCTGAGACAACTTGGTTGTGATTTGGTGCTTTATAAATAAACTGAATTGAACTGAATTTAATTTCTTCACTACAAGAAAGCAAAGTTTTCATCAAACAGTTAGGGGGGTACATTTCATCGGAAAATTTCTGTTGGATACATAACCAGACATGGAAGTGCCAAAAATGCTCAAATCTGTAGGTCGAGCTAGATTTTGAATATCTGCATAGAGAAAAAAACAAGTTTTTATGACCCATTTAAAAGATCTAATTGACTTTATTTTCTTTTTTCATACTGGAAGGTGTTTTAGGTCAACTGATTGGAAGACTCTCAGTGAAACGGGTCATAATAAAACTTTTTTGGTCCATAAAAGTAGTCCAGTGTTAAACCAGGGCCAGTGCTTGCTGAGCACTGGTTCTTTCTGTTCTGAATAATAAAAGATGCATCTTCATCAATAAAAAACAAGTCATGTATCTGCAAACCCATTTCTGGACCAGAGCAAGACCCACATTTATCAGGGTCTGAGGTCAGGCTCATAGAGACCTATAAGAAGGTGAAGTGTTTAAAACCTTTGATTTGATTCAGTGTTTAATCCTTTAAAAGTCAGAAAAATTAGAAAAAAAAAAACACTGATGAGAAATCAAACTAGCACTTTGTTTTAATTCAATCCAGTTTATTCATAAAGCTCCAAATCACAACCAAGTTGTCTCAGGGACTTTACAGGAACATTCACATAAAAGCCAATTAGTAAAGTTTATCTAAGGAATCCAGCAGACAAGTTGAATCTTGTCTTCGTTGCAGTCTCCCATCCTGAGCAAGCACAGTGGAGACAGTGGAAAGAAAAACTCTCTTTTAACAGGAAGAAACCTCCAGCAGAACCAGCTCAGGACAAGAGACCATCTGCTTTGACCGGCTGGTTGAGAGGACAGGAAGGAGAGACAGACGAACACAGAATGGTAGGTCCAGGTATAGGTCCAGGTCCAGGTCCAGGTATAGGTCCAGGTCCAGATATAGGTCCAGGTGTATCTGAAAGACAAAAAAAAAACATGTTAAGTATAGAAAAAATAATTACAAATGTTGAGCAGAGTAAGTAAAGACAGTAACAGAGTGAAAAGTGTGGTCAGTTTGTCCTCCAGCAGTCTAAGTCTATAGCAGCAGAACTCAGGGACAGCTCAGGAAACCCAAGCCGACCCTAACTATAGGATTTATCAAAAAGGAAAGTCTTCAAACTGGACAATGTGTCAGCCTCACGGACAGAAACTGGAAGTTGGTTCCACAAGAGAGGAGCCTGAAAACTGAAAGATCTTCCTCCCATTCTGCTGCTGGAAACTCTAGGAACCACAAGTAAACCTGCAGTCTGAGAGCAAAGTGCTCTGTTAGTAAAATATGGAACAATAAAATCTGTAATATAAGATGGAGCTAGGTTGTTGAGGGCTTTGTAGGTTAGAAGTAAGATTTTGAATTCTATTCTGGATTTGACAGGGAGCTGCATACTTATTGTCAGAAGTATGTAGTGAATGTGGACTGTGATTTTGAAATGTTAATTATTAACACTGTTGGGTCGTTTACCATCACCAGCTGTTGATTATAAATTCTGAGGTGTGAAACTCCCGTTTGCAGCAGAGTTTATAAAATGATTAGAGGTCGTGAATGCAGTTGTGAAGGTGTAATGACATTCAACTAACAACGTGTGAAATAAACATTTTTTTTTTGCAATGTGACAAACTGATTTGTTAACATGAACCGTAAACAGAATCCAAAATATGCAAGAATCAAATTTGTACTGAAGGAGACATTTTAAGAACTGTAATTTTAAGAATCAGTTGGAGCACAAACGCTGGTCTAACGCTGGAAAATCATAAGTCACATTTTGAACTGACCACATACTAGAAGAAAGGTGAAGCAAAGAAAAAGGAAAATACCATACCACTTTATTTATAGAGCACTTACAACAGCTACAAGGCCAACCAAAGTGCTGTACAGACAGAACAACAGGTAACACATGAAGTAAAATACAAAATGAGGTCAATCAGAATATAGACATAAAAACGATGCAGATAATGACGACAAACCAGTGTGGAGCATACAGGATCAAAACACAGATCATCTGGTGTTGAAAGCTACTGAATAGTAGTGAGTTTTTAAACAGGACTTGAAAACAGAGAGGGAGGGGGCCTGTCTGACAAGCAGAGGTAACTCATTCCAAAGTCTTGGTCCTGCTACAGAGAAGGCCCTGTCACCTCTGCGCTTAAGACGAGTTCCTGGAACTGTGAGGAGCAAATAAAATGTAATATATTAAATAACAAATTGGGTTTAATTAAATTGTAAAAGAGAAAATAGAGTGATTTTAAAATCTGTTTCTTGTTTATTATTAACAAGAAATAATTTAAGGAGATCTACAGAATCAACGGCAACATGCTGAATTTCACTACCCTGGTTTAAGTTTTAGCTCACTGCACCACTGAGCACTGGGATCACGTCAGGCAGCCAGTGGTTTTTGATAACCTAGTAGCTCCCAACATGACAGCACCTGGATGTAGGAACGTCTTACCTCTCTCCATCCATTCTCATGTCCAAGGGACCGTCCTTGCTGAGGGAGAAACCTCTCTCCGCCTGATCCAGCTGCATGGAGGAGCAGCCAGCGTCCAGCAGGACGGCATCAATGCTGCCTGGCTTAATGTCCATGTTAGACAGCAGGGCTTGAAGCTCACTGAACCGGCCAAGCAATGGTTTCACACGACCACTGGAAGACAGAAGGAAGTTATTGAAACACCAACTTATTTACTTTAAATGCTTACATTCTATTTCTGTCGGCTGCTCCTTCTTCGGGGTCACCAATGAACTAACTCATATAAAGACCTGACAATTGTTTTTACACCAGATGCCCTTCCTTTTTTTTTCTCCCCCTTGTCCTGTCCGTCATTGTGACACTTAGAATTATTGTCTAAGAGTCAAAGTTAGGCCCAACAGATTTACTTTCATAAGCAGAGCATCATGGCTGGCCTTAATGCTCTGCTTGATATATAAATTAAATTTTATTAGAACATGCTTTGGGTTTGTTCCAGATGTAATGGACACGGGGACGGAAAACAAAGAAGATAACAAAGCAGAAAAGTGAGAGAAGAGTTAAAATGTAAAGAAGGAGATAGGAATAGAGGAGAGAGAGAGAGAGATAAAGAGAACACAGATCAACATCATTGGTCTGACTCTAGACCTGCGGAAAGAAAAGACGAGACAAAACCGAGAAACCACAACAACAAACAACTTATATAATGATACTTATAACATCATTAGAAAGTATTTTATCCAGTGCATGGTAATACAAGATATATTCGATGGCCACCACAACCCGACTGAGTGTGTATCTGATAAACACCTGGATCTAAACACCTGTGTGAGCATGTTATCACCATAAGGTTTCTCCATAAAAATGTTCAATAGTGGATGTGGGGACCCATAAACCCGTCCCCACAGGACATGAAGGTAACACAGGGAAGACCGGAACCACAAACACACAGCGGCCCCCAAGCCCGGAACTCCGGTAGTCCCCCAACAGGGGGGGGGGGGGAAGGGGGCAGTGGGGGGGGGGGGGGGTCGTGGGCCCGGGGCAATGGCGCTCAACTGGGGAGATGGCTTCGGTGGTTCTGGGCGTTGACCTCTGCTGGCTGCATGCAGGCCTCTGGGCGGTCTGTGCCGGTGGGCGCAGGTTGCTGGCCTGGTGGCCTGGCTGCTCCTGGGTGGGTTCGGGGTTCTGGGGGAGTGTCGCTCCCGGGCTGGGGTCCTGGCTTGATCCGGGGGTCTCGGGTCTTGGCGGGTATGTTGTCGGGGTCTTGGGCCGGTGCATGAGCCAGTGCCCGGCCCTGGCCTGGGGGCCCTTGGTGTGCTGGTGGGCTTTGGGGCCTCTGCCATGGTGGGGTGGGGGTGGACAGGTGGACTCAGCCTGGGTGTCTTCCTGCCTGGCTGTGGCTGTGGTCTGGTGCTTGGCTGGGGGTCTGGGCTGTGGGGGGGGGGGGGGGGCTTTTGCTCGGGTGGCTCTGCACTGCTGGCCTGGGGGTGTCTGGGCATGTGCCCTCCCTTACATGGGGTGCTCTCATTGTGGGTGTTGCTGTGGTGGACTGGTCGGTCCTTTTGTGGGGATGGGGGTGCGCTCTCGGTCATCGTGGTGTGCTGTCTGCGGCTATTTGGGCACTCCTGGCTGATTGTCACTGCTGGAGTTTGGTGGCTTCTTTGGTTGGGGGGCTGGGTGTTGAGCTGGGGATCGGGTTGGGGGTCTGGACGATCTTGGGGGGGCTTGGGTCGCTGGCCCGGGTTCTGGTTGGTCCTTGGGGCTATGTGCCGGTCCGTGGCCTGGGTCCCTGGTGGTGCGGCTGCCTCCTGCTCCTGGAAGGATGTACTAGAGCCTCCCTCCCCTGGTGGATCTCAGAGAATGGGGGTGCCTATTGGGGTCAGTGAGGGAGCTGGCCCCCTGGGAGGGCATTGCCACCTCAGTTGTTCCTCCCCATCCTGACGTCTTCCTCCACCCACTCCATCACACCACCACTCAAGCAGGGCCTTGGGGTTCAGGTGCACTACTGAGCTGCGGGGAGGATCCTCCATCTCTGTGGTTCGTGGAGACCTGGGCCCCAATTTTATCAAACAACCTAGACACTCACATACAACATTCTCACGACACATAGATATATAGGGTCTGGAGTGAGCACACGGTGGCATATAGGTGGCGGGATGTGTAATCATTCTCAGCTTCGGGACCTGTGCCCACTCTCATATGTAGTATGTCTCATATGCATGTAGACATTTAGGGTTCTGGGCAAGGGTTGGGGAGGTGAACGAGCACTGCCTGCTCTCTGGGGAGGGGGTGGGTCTGTGCCAGTCGCCGCCTCATCCCCCCCATTTTAAATGTACTATATAACAACATGCATCAACATCTTATTTGAGTGGGGGGAGGGAGGAGTTGGGTCTTCCAGTTTTCCTTAAACCCTCATTCTCTGTCTGACATTTGGGGTCGGGGGCAGGGGGGGGGCTGCCTGGTTAGGGTCTGGGTTGTGGGTGGGTATTGGACCTTTGGGGGCGATTGGGGGTGGGGCTGGGGCTCCGGTTCTCCCTGGATTGTTTGGACCCCTTGATCGGGGTTCCTGGTTCCGATGGCCAGCCCTTTGGCTGGGGTGGATGCCCTTCCTGACAACCAGACCACCGAGCTACCACAGCCCTCTGCGTGGAGCAGAGAGCTGCATCTAGGGTGCCTGGGGGAGCCGAAGGTGGGGGTTTGCTTAAGGGCCCAGAGTGGGGCAAATGAGGATGGAGACATGTGTAGGTGCTTTCCCACCCACATTTTTTTATGTTGTTGGTCTAGGAATCGAACTGGCGACCTTCTGATCACAGGCTTGCCTTATCAAACCTCAGTGCCACCACTCCCCCTATAATACTTTTTTTTTCTCAATACAACTCAGATTATTTATATAGCGCAAAATCACAACAAAGTTGTCTCAGGGACTTTACAGGAACATTCACATAAAAGCCAATTAGTAAAGTTCTCTATCTAAGGAATCCAGCAGACAAGATGAATCTTGGCTTCGTTGCAGTCTCCCATCCTGAGCAAGCACAGTGGAGACAGTGGGAAGAAAAACTCCCTTTAACAGGAAGAAACCTCCAGCAGAACCAGCTCAGGACAAGAGACCATCTGCTTTGACCGGCTGGTTGAGAGGACAGGAAGGAGAGACAGACGAACACAGAATGGTAGGTCCAGGTATAGGTCCAGATGTACCTGAAAGACAAAAACATGTTAAGGATAGAAAAAATAATTACAAATACAAACCAGGTTGAGCAGAGTAAGTAAAGACAGTAGCAGAGTGAAAATTGTGGTCAGTTTGTCCTCCAGCAGTCTAAGCCTATAGCAGCATAACTAAGGGACAGCTCAGGAAACCCAAGCCGACCCTAACTATAGGATTTAGCAAAAAGGAAATTCTTCAGCCTAGTTTTAAAACTGGACAATGTGTCAGCCTCATGGACAGAGATTGGAAGTTGGTTCCACAAGAGAGGAGCCTGAGAACTGAAAGATCTTCCTCCCATTCTACTTCTGGAAACTCTAGGAACCACAATTAAGCCTGCAGCCTGAGAGCGAAGTGCTCTGTTAGGACAATATGGAACAATAAGATCTGTAATATAAGATGGAGCTAGGTTGTTGAGGGCTTTGTAGGTTAGAAGTAAGATTTTGAATTCTATTCTGGATTTGACAGGGAGCCAATGGAGAGAAACTAAAACTGGAGAGAGATGATCTCTCCCAGTAACTCCAGTTAAGACTCTGGCAGCAGCTTCTTGGATCAACTGAAGACGTTTTAAAGAAGTATTTGGACACCCAGATAATAAACCATTGCAATAGTCCAGTCTAGACGTGACAAATGCATGGACCAGTTTTTCTGCATCATCTTTAGATCAGATGTTTCTAATGTTAGTGATATTACGCAGGTGGAAGAAGGAGGTTCTAGTAACGTTTTTAATGTGGGGGATAAAAGACATGTCCTGATCAAAAATAACACCAAGATTTTTAACATTAGAGCTGGAGGACAGATTAATGCATCTAAGGAGGGAGAAAGACTGAAACATTCATTCCTAAGGTGCTCAGGTCCAAAAACCAAAACCTCAGTCTTGTCTGTTCAACAGGAGAAAATTAAGGGTCATCC